GAGGCAGACCTCTCCTGACCCGCCCGCTGCTCCCCTCAGCAGTGTACTTCGTCGATCTGCCTGTTCTGCTTCCCGCTTTGTCTCTGGTGAATCCTCTCACCCTCCGCATCTCTGGCCTGTACCCCAGTTCTGTACGAATAAATAAATAAATCTTTTAAAAAAAATTATTTAACATGGTAATCATATAGCTAATGTAAAAAACATATAGCTAGGGAGTTTTTCTATTTATTTTTTAAAGATAAGCTTCCAGGATGCTTGGCGTTCCCAAGTAAATGATGGAGAGTTTTGCAGAAACTAAAGACCTACTTTCAATATTAAATATCAAAATTTAGCAACTTCCAGAAGATTAGAATTGACAGGCTTAAAATAAAAGTGCTCTAAGTACAAAAGGATTTTAGACCCAGTGAAAAGTTTGGAGAAAAAAATAAGAAAAATAAAATAAGTATGAAAAATCATATGGCAAATAAGCATATAAAAAGATGCTTCACATCACTTGTCATTAGGGAACTGAAATTAAAACAGCAAAATATGATCATCTACTGGCAACACCCAATGCTGGCAAGAATGTGGAGCGGCAAGAAATCTCATTCATTGCTTGTGGGAGTGTGAAATGACACATATATGATTCAGCAGTTATACATCTTTGTATTTAACAAATTAGTTGTAGACTTATATCCACACAAAAACCTACACATATGCATAGCAACTTTTTTCATAAATGCCAAAATGGGGAAAAAGCAAGAGTTTTTCAGAAGGTAAATGGAATGTTACCCAACACTAGGAAGAAATGAGCTATGAAGGCTTGAAAATATAGAAAAAGGCCCTCCCTGGTGGAGCAGCAGATTAAAGCACAGCACGGAGAAGCTAAAGCCACTTCAGCATGAGTTCAGGAGATGACCACATGGCGTGGCAGACCTCTCCTGACCGGCCCGCTGCTCCCCTCAGCAGTGTGCTTCATTGATCTGCCTATTCTGCCCCCACTCTGTCTCTGGTGAAATCTCTCACCACCCCTGCACCTCTGGCCTGTACCCCAATTCTGTGTGCATAAATAAATAAATCTTTTTTTAAAAAAAGAAATTATAGGAAAAAATATAAGTGCACGTTACTAAGTGAAATAAGCCAACCTGGAAAGTTTACACAATGCGTGTTTACAACTCTATGAAAATCTGGGCAAAGAGGGTTGGAGGGGTTGGTGAAATGGATACAGAGTATCAGGTGATTGATGATGGTTGTAGACCAAGTTTTGGGAGGTCATTATGACATATTGCTTACAGATGTAGGATTATCATGTTATACACCTAACACATAATATTATAAACCAATGTTATCTCAATAAAAATGTTAAAGAATTAAAACATATGTAGACAGTAAAATGATCAATGGCTTCAGGGGTTAGGACAGAGAAATCACTGAACAGGCTAAGTGTAGAATTGTAAGGATGTGAAAACACTGTATATGATATAGTAGTATTGGATACATATCATATATTTGTCCAAACTCATAGACTGTATGACTCCAAGTATGGACTCTAATGTTAACATGGGCTTCAGTTGGTGCATGTAACAAATGTGCAGCTGATAAAGATTATTGGGAAAAGACTGTTTGTGTGGGAACAAGAGGTATCCAGTAAATCTCTTTACTTTCCACTTATTTGTTGAAGTTAATTTAGTTCTAAAATAAAGTCTATTTATTTATAATAGATAGTCTATTTATCTATTTAGTTCTAAAATAAAGGACAAAAGAGGGAAATAACCGATACTTATTCATATTTACTATCACTGAACACACTGCAAAACACTGAATACAAATATTCAATCTCAGAGCCTAACGAAAGCGAGTAAAGGAAAAAAAAAACAAACCTTCTGATTGGGCCTTCCCTGGTGGCACAACAGGTTAAAGCACAGCAATAAGAAGCTAAAGCCACTTCAGCATGAGTTCGATCCCCAGTCCTGGAGGTGACCCACATGGCACAGCAGATCTCTCCTGACCTGCCCACAGCTCCCCTCAGCAGTGTACTTCATCAGTCTGTTCTGCTCCCCACTCTGTCTCTGGTGAATCCTCTCACATCCCCTGCATCTCTGGCCTGTACCCCAGTTCTGTATGCATAAATAAATAAATCTTTAAAAAAAAATAAAAATAAAAAAAAATAAATAAAGATGTATTTATTTATGCATACAACAACTGGGGTACAGGCCATAGCTGTGGGAGGTGAGAGGATTCACCAGAGTGGAGAGCAGAACAAGCAGATGTACTGAAACACACTGCTGAGGAGAGCAGTGGGCAGGTTAGGAGAGACCTGGCGCACCATGTGGGTCAGCTGCCTGGTCGGGATGGCACCCGTGCAGCAGAGGCTGCTTACAGTCCCACAGTGCTGCACTGAGCTACCAGGGAGGCCACTATACATAGCTTCTTAATGAGGATTTTGTCCAACGTACTTCTGAAAGGCATTTCTCAAAGATGTTCTTCCAGACTTCCATGAAGGAAGATTTAGGACCAAATTATGACAATTATAATGATTTTAAATCATTTAAAATGACCAAGTGAGTGTCAAGTTAGTAGGTGATATCAGCTTTCTTATTTTAGTGTTATTCATCGTAAGAATTGCCTGAAAAACTTCCATCAATATACAGAGTGATTATTATTATACTTGCCAGTGACTGATTTTCCCTTATTTTTTTTCTAAATATGGAAAGAATTATGGTAACAAATTTTATTGAAACACTTTTTATGATTACTCAGACTGACCTTGGTACTATAATCCTGGAATCTCTGTATACTTTTCTAGAAAAATGAGACTGCTCAGAAATGGAAGTAGTAGTTATATATGTGAAGATATTTAAATCACATTGACGCTTAGGGCTAGTTATAGAAGAAAAGCTTGTGAAGAGGAAGATTAAAATATCAACCCTTATATTTGATTTATGATTATCATCAGAAGCAAAATTGAAGACAGGTATATCTCATAAATCATGCTCAGAAAAATTTATAATTTAAAGTGCAATAGACTCATCTGCGTTTTACTCTTCCAACTCTTAAAATTATTTAACATGGGGCCCTCCCTGGTGGCGCAGCGGGTGAAAGCACTAAGAAACTAAAGAGCCGCTTCCGCATGAGTTCGATTCCCGCCTGCCCCGGAGGTGACCACATGGCGTGGCAGACCTCTCCTGGCCCGCCCACTGCTCCCCTCAGCAGTGTACTTTGTCAATCTGCCTGTTCTGCTTCCCGCTTTGTCTCTGGTGAATCCTCTCACCCTCCGCATCTCTGGCCTGTACCCCAGTTCTGTACGAATAAATAAATAAATCTTTTAAAAAAAATTATTTAACATGGTAATCATATAGCTAATGTAAAAAACATATAGCTAGGGAGTTTTTCTATTTATTTTTTAAAGATAAGCTTCCAGGATGCTTGGCGTTCCCAAGTAAATGATGGAGAGTTTTGCAGAAACTAAAGACCTACTTTCAATATTAAATATCAAAATTTAGCAACTTCCAGAAGATTAGAATTGACAGGCTTAAAATAAAAGTGCTCTAAGTACAAAAGGATTTTAGACCCAGTGAAAAGTTTGGAGAAAAAAATAAGAAAAATAAAATAAGTATGAAAAATCATATGGCAAATAAGCATATAAAAAGATGCTTCACATCACTTGTCATTAGGGAACTGAAATTAAAACAGCAAAATATGATCATCTACTGGCAACACCCAATGCTGGCAAGAATGTGGAGCGGCAAGAAATCTCATTCATTGCTTGTGGGAGTGTGAAATGACACATATATGATTCAGCAGTTATACATCTTTGTATTTAACAAATTAGTTGTAGACTTATATCCACACAAAAACCTACACATATGCATAGCAACTTTTTTCATAAATGCCAAAATGGGGAAAAAGCAAGAGTTTTTCAGAAGGTAAATGGAATGTTACCCAACACTAGGAAGAAATGAGCTATGAAGGCTTGAAAATATAGAAAAAGGCCCTCCCTGGTGGAGCAGCAGATTAAAGCACAGCACGGAGAAGCTAAAGCCACTTCAGCATGAGTTCAGGAGATGACCACATGGCGTGGCAGACCTCTCCTGACCGGCCCGCTGCTCCCCTCAGCAGTGTGCTTCATTGATCTGCCTATTCTGCCCCCACTCTGTCTCTGGTGAAATCTCTCACCACCCCTGCACCTCTGGCCTGTACCCCAATTCTGTGTGCATAAATAAATAAATCTTTTTTTAAAAAAAGAAATTATAGGAAAAAATATAAGTGCACGTTA